GCTGTAGACAATACTGTGTTGGTGCGCAGCTGTAGACAATACTGTGTTGGTGCGCAGCTGTAGACAATACTGTGTTGGTGCGCAGCTGTAGACAATACTGTGTTGGTGCGCAGCTGTAGACAATACTGTGTTGGTGCGCAGCTGTAGACAATACTGTGTTGGTGCGCAGCTGTAGACAATACTGTGTTGGTGCGCAGCTGTAGACAATACTGTGTTGGTGCGCAGCTGTAGACAATACTGTGTTGGTGCGCAGCTGAAGGTGCACTGGGACGCGTACGTGTCGCCGGTGGTGCGTGGGGAGGTGAGCGCCACGTCGCAGGAGCACCAGCACATCAGGAGGCTCTGGCGCAACATCGAGCCGCACCTCCGCAGGGCCCTCAACACCTTATATGTCAAGGAGGTCAACAGGTCAGTGAGGTCACGACCTCGTATGTCAAGGAGGTCAACAGGTCAGTGAGGTCACGACCTCGTATGTCAAGGAGGTCAACAGGTCAGTGAGGTCACAAAGGCTATAATGTCCTGCAGGAACAAAGGAGTTTTATTCTAAACATTACATTATATCCTATATTTATAGTCTCTCTTTTAATATAAGTTTGAAGTTAGAAGCTCAATTGCTTGCAATAAACAAAATATATTACAATGAAGATACTATTCTTGGTAACACTGTTATGTTACAGTGCGCAGTACAGTGAGATGCAGAAGCTGATGGAGCAGAGCGACAACAAACTGCCAACAGTGAACACCATCTCCGGCGGCACTGCACAGGTACTGTACACTGCAGCTGTACACTGCAGCTGTACACTGCAGCTGTACATTGCAGCTGTACACTGCAGCTGTACACTGCAGCTGTACACTGCAGCTGTACACTGCAGCTGTACACTGCAGCTGTACACTGCAACTGTACGCTGCAGCTGTACACTGTCATGTCTTACAATGAGCGTGCAGCTGCCGTATAATGTTAATATGATAAGAATGATGTTTATCTTGATGCACTTTAACCTGCACTCGTGATACAGTGTAAGTCACGCACGTCTGTCTGACGCACGTCTGTCTGACGCACGTCTGTCCCTCCTTGTCACTTCGTCTCTTTGAGATGCTAACGCTGCTTTCTCCGAGCCAGCTTCAGCGGGCGGACAATTGAGACCTTCCGCCCCTTGTGGGTGATGAACATTTTTTTGTTTTAAGAAACTGTCGACATTTGAGACCTTCCACCTCTTTGGTGATGTTCAACACGACTTTCGGTGCGAGGTTAGCGAAATAGCTGAAGCGCTAGTAAACATATTGGGAAGTTTCCCAACGCAGGAGGAAATCCTCTTCTAGAAATGTCTAAGTTAGACCGCTATCAAGGATTAAGACAAATTTGAATATGTATTAAGTAGATTTATTTTATTTTTCTCAAAGAATCCAGTCCCAAATTAGCGTCCTTGCTCCCAGTATTCAAGAAAGAAAGGTCCAGGCGAGCAGTAGGGAGACAGACGTATGAAGTTTCTCAAGTTGGGGATACTGGGTATAGAAATGAACATATAGTTAACACCACACCGGAACGACAACTTCGCTTTAAGTAATCTCAGTATCGCACAATTCATAGATAACTGGAGAAATGCTCACCTTATTTAATGAAAAATAAGTGCACAGGTAGAGCTGTGCTTCCAGAGTGGAATTTAGATGCTTTACAGCAATTGCATATGTGAGTTTAATATACAATAGTTCCAAATTAATAAGTCACCCATAGGAAGGAGCGTTGAACTCTTTGGCCATTTAAGTTCAGTTAAGAGGTAAGTGTTTAAGGTTATACATTTAAAGCGCGCATCCAATTTATCAAGGATACTTTCTAAATTTAAGACTTGCATACAATAAAGCGCAAGTACCGTATTAGGTTATTTAAGAGGTCGATCAATAGGGTTTAGCTGGCTGGCCAAAGTGATCGAACATAGAAGTGAAAAAAGCATGCACCCCAAATCAAAGATCAATTAAGCAAGGGTTGTGCACAACAAATAATAATAAGTTTAACAGCAAATAATTCAGGAAACTATGGCTACACAGTTAAGGTAGGTAAGGAACTTTAGTGACCGCGCTATATGAGCTCTCGTTCATTCTGTTATGCTAGCTACGGCTCCGTTTATATAAACAAGAAAGTTCTGGTTCTTCATCTTTAGTTGAGAAGAAGTCAGGTTGGGAAATTTTCCCAACAAACATGTGGCCACTAAACTAACTCGGTCCCTATAAGTAGCAGCTGTGGTGTGGTAGTGTGGTACTGACACTTGTACCTGCTGCAGGTGGAGCTGCCGTACTACTCCAAGTTCCTCCTACTTGCCTCCTACTTGGCCTCCTACAACCCTGCGCGCTCCGACCGCCGCTACTTCCTCAAGCATCACGGCAAGCAGAAGAAAACGCAAGCCATGATAAAAGATGCCGTGTTGTTTCTTTCCTCCAGGACCGTGGACTTCGACATCGTGCGCTACCTCTACGACTTCGCGTAGGACGAAGCGATCTTCTTCTTCTATTGGTGCGCCGTGCCGTACAGCTGTACAGCTGACAAAGTCAATAAATAATCGATTGCCCCGTACATTTATAATCGTTGATGAACGTTGGATTTCTATAGCATTTAACTTATAATGAATGTTATAGTAAGCAGCCAGCGTATGTCACCAGGCTGACGGTTGGATTAGTTTGTCCTTTAGATTAGATTATTGATCTAGGCAATAAGAAGGCTGTAGTGGAGGCTTCCTTGTGTGATGTTTGATATGTTGAGAGGAGAAAACCATTCCTACAATTGGCTTCTGATAACTATCCTCGGCATGCTCGGACTCGCCGCTATCCTCGGACTCGCAGCTATCCTCGGACTCGCGGCTATCCTCGGACTCGCAGCTATCCTCGGACTCGCCGCTATCCTCGGACTCGCCGCTATCCTCGGACTCGCAGCTATCCTCGGACTCGCCGCTATCCTCGGACTCGCCGCTATCCTCGGACTCGCCGCTATCCTCGGACTCGCCGCTATCCTCAGACTCGCGGCTATCCCTAATATCCAAGTGCCTATAGATCGGGTGAAAATCCACCCACAAACTGCAACGCTTGATTCTTATATTTCCCATTACCACTTTTTCTATCCCCAAGTCGGCAAAAGCCTTGGATGGAAATTCCTAACTCAGATCTGCGATATTCCTAATTATTTTTTTAATCGCAAGGTTCCTTTTCTTGTATGAGAAATATAAATAATAAATGTATAATAATAAATAAATAAAAAATTATCCTTACTTGATTCGAGGTCTCCCCCCACCGCCCTTTGTAGACCCCCGACATCACCACGCAGCCCTTGGGTGCCTCGACACAAGGAATCTCAACCAAATAAGGAAATGTTGCGGGATATTTTAATAATCAAGCTGTTCTGGTGCCACTGTCTTCCCAGATGCCGCGATGATAAGTTTGTTTGTATGCGAGTTTTTCTAAAGCCAAGTACAATTCCCGCCTTATGTCCCGGCTACTTATTTAAAGACATACTCTCTAAAGTACAATTCCTGCCTTTAGTCATGGTTACTTTTATTATCCTTTATTCCGTTCTACAAAACACATTATCTTTGGGCTTGAGGCAATTTTCCGTCTTCAAATTGATCGATACATTTTCAATGTAACCACCTAAATATTCTTATTTCACTGTTATTTTCATCTTTACGAACGCCAAATCCATGAGGTAAAATACTACAACTGCTTTTGAGCATTTCATATTTTTGTTTCGTTATCATTTCTTAATTGTTCATGACAAGCATATCCTGCAGTTTGTCAACTCTATTTATTGAAATACGTCTTTCATAAATTTTCTCACGATAATTACCCAAGGAAGCGTAGTAATGGTCGGCTCTCCTTCACAACCTGTCGATTCGTCGAGCTGCGCCAACATTAACAATAATTTAGGAAGAATTTGAGAAATAATTCCCAGCTCACGATGCCGGCACATTTGATTGTGGTGTCCCTATTTACATTTCTTGGAAGCTCTGGCGTGGCTTGTGTTGGTGCGTGCAGGCGCTCCCTGCAGCGCTGCACTCTTGGCCCGACGCTGCGTGGCTGGCGGTGCGTCGGTGCACCGAGATAACGAACGCCTCACTAACTCACCAACGCTGCCCTCGTTGCAGGCGTAGACTAGTATTTGTTTAGGTGCAGAACAACTACATTTTAGAAATCAATCGTATTCAGCTCTACAGCAAGCATTTGGCGTCATTAAAACGCATGTGGAACATTAGAAAGAAGCTTAACACGTTGACTCCGAAGTGGTACATATACGTACCACGAAATGTTTTTCTCCAGAAAGTAGTGGTACATTATTCAGGGTTGCCAGATGGTCTAAAAACAGCCAAGTCCGCGAACAAAAAAGGCCTCTAAGTCAATATATACTAGTATAGTTGTGGATTCCGGTGTGAGAATTCCATTTCTTTTTTCTAAAATTTAATAAGAAAGTACCCATATCATAAATTTTAGCCGGTCAACGCAACTGAAAAAAACTAAATCGCGGAATTTGTCCGAAAAAAAACATCTGGCAACCCTGTTGCTTATAGTGCAAAAAGTGAAATAGTAAAAGATGAAGCAATCGGAGTGAGCGTGTTAAGACTATAGCAGAAAAGAATAAGAGAAAAGCCTGTATTGCAGTGCGCTGGGTCAGGCTATCTCAGGACCACTTCCTGTAGTGGGGCCGCCCCCAGCGTCACAGCTGCAGTGTTCTCAATAAACCCGCGGGCCTCGCCACCTCCTGGCGATGCAAGAGGCAGTCGCTCCCCGACACCGGCGCCCTGTGCAGGGGCGTCTCCATCCTGCTGTGCTGAGCTGTGCACGTTCTTGCTTGCTTGCAACGACGTCATTTTGCTTGCACAACTTGTCATGTGATCAGTGACAGCAGAGGTCACTTCGCTGTTAGTTTCTCATCGAGCTGAACTAACGCCAAGTTTTTTCTTTTGGTGTCTGAAGGGACCGCTTCTTGCGTGCCATAGCTAAAAGCTTGCAGGGAAATAATCATTTTTCGTGAGTCATAATATTTTCTTATATTATTTTAGTTGCGGCTTTACGTCGAGTGACGTTTGATATCAACGTTGAACGACGAAGAATTGCACTAGTCTTTATTACATCATGAACTTTTAGCAATTAGTAATAATTTTCGAACATTTTGGGCTCCCAGCTCTACACAGAAAATTATTTTAGGTCATTCCGTACATGGAGACGTTGCTGACGAGGTTCTGAATAATATTATATAATTCTAATTACGGAATAGTGTAGGTTAGGTTCTCAAATAATGAAAGGCTGTTACTAATGTATGATATATTATGATTACTCATGCCGACCTATACCTGGGCGACATATTAAATTATTGAACTAAAATAAATGTTCAGATGACCGGGAACAATATTAATATAATATACGTATACTAAAGTCCAATAGATCATGATATCAAAGAGGCAAATAAGTGCCATTGGGCCACTTCTACTCACAAGGCTCTAAGCTCGAACACCAATTAAGACATACAGTACATTGGTGGCCAGTTCATATCCGTTGTAAATTCAAGTGTTGATCGAATGCGAGAATTGGTAATGAAAATTTATTGATGGAACATTTATTGATATAATAATAAAAAAGCGGCCATTGTCGATGCGAATTTTTTGACACAATCAAGCTAAAAGTAGTTAACGAAATGGGTAATGAACGTGTTTTGCCGATTTGTGCTCTTAAGATTCGAATTGAAGTGACTAAGAGCGCCCAAAACTCTACAAAAGTTTTTTAGCGCATTTTTGAAGGAAAACATCACATGAAAGACCAAATTAATAAAAAAAAATTATCAAGAATCTACCTTGTAGAGAGCGTATGTGTATCGTTAGGCCTGCTAGCGTTTCGTTCAGTGATAATTGAGATGTTTTATAGCGAGATACAGTTGTGCGCCATCCACTGTCCTGAGGCTGGTAAGCTATGTCATGCTGTGATTGGTGTTGCTTTCGATTGTGCATGAATTTGAATAACATAACATAACATAACATAACATAACATAACATAACATAACACATAACATTACATATAACATAACATAACATAGTGATGTCGGCGCTGAAGTGTAGGCCTGATGTGGCCTGTCGCCTCTTCTTGTACTTTTCGGACTTGTTCACAGAAGATTTAAAATCGTGTCATTTGACCGGATCTTTTCAAGACTGACGATAATTTGAAATAGCTACCAGACTTCCACCGGGTTCGATATGGTGCTAGGAATTTCGAGTCTGAACATATATTTTTCCATAGCTTTATCTAGTCTGTTCTTGAACGCGTTCATACTCGGAGCGCCAACGGCGTAATCGGGGAGGCTGTTCCACATGTCGGTGATTCGAAGCGAGAAGAAATGTTGCCGTGTGGAGAAGTTGCAGCGCAGTTTTTTTTAGTTTATAGACGTGTCCCCTGGTGTTGGTTCTTGTTTTCAATTCTAGTAACCCTTCAGGGACCTTGTATAGACCATGAGTATACTTGTATACTTCAATGAGGTCCCCACGCAGACGTCGACAACTGAGGCTTGGAAGCTTCATAATCTTTAAGCTTTCTTAATAGGACTTGCACTTCAAGCCTGGAATTATCCTTGTTGCAAGTCTTTGAACATTCTCTATAAAGTTTTTGTCCTTTTCAAATTTCGAAGACTACACAACGTTTCCAAACTCTAGGTTCGGGCGCACGACAGCAACAAACAACTGCTTCATCGCTTCTGCATCTAGGAACTCGTATGAGCGTCTGATTAGTCCAAGAAGTTTGTTGGATGTATTAGCTTGTGTTTCAACATGCTTAGAAAATTTCAGCTGCTAGTCGACATAAACTCCAAGATCTTTTTCCACACTTTACTCTCTCTCGATATTTTTTCTTTACTCTTTCGTTGCAACCAGGTTTTCTCACACTGTAATCTTGCTGTTCATTGTTCTTCCCAAGGTTTCAAGTGCATTAAAATTCTAATGCCACCTTCACTGTGAAGAATACTTGGTGCTGATCCTTCATGTTCGGTAAAAGAAGACATGGTTTCGTGTGGCTTATAAACCGATTTCTGGAAATTATTACAAAACATAAGAAATAAATCAAGGAAATTTTATAGTTACTTAATTTCAAGATTAAAAATGAATCAGCTAGAAATAAATGTCAAATGATCAATTCATACCAGATTACAGGAGTTTCGGTATAAACATTTATCTCAGCTAACAGACGAATTACTACTGATAACGCTGGTGTAAATGAACTCTTGCATTAGAGCGTCAGTTTAGACGAAATGTGGGTGGTTACTTTCAGCATTCACAGTCAATTCATCCATTTCTAACGCTTTTAACCTCCTAGATCCTGATATACAGACATAGCATAAGAATCCTAAAGTATTCAGCGCATAGGGAGCGGACAATTACCCTCTACCTGACGATGTCGAAAGTCCTCTTATTAACTCTGCTATTGTGGACAATAGCCACCGCCATCGGAGACGACAGCGATTATTCACAGTATCCCGACTACGGGCCAACGAGATCGGTGCCAACCCCTGCTTCACCTGACGACTTCTTCAACCCCTTCGATGCTGACGAAAGCCACGCCCCTGACGATGTCAGAGACGATTCAGAAGTTGTCAGCAATGAAGGAGTTCAAGAAACGAGAAATGTGAATGTTCAGGAATTGGGGAAGGATATAGAGCGATATTCGGGAACTGACGATGGCGATGACGGAGTAAACTTACAAGAACCTGGGGCGCGGCATGTCCCGCTTATGGCCACGTCTGCTTCGTTACAAAAGCAGCCCGATGACGGCGGCAGCGGGGACTCTCTGCTGTCTCTTCCAGGGCAAGGGAAAATAAGCGCTAGAAAAATTGAACGAACTTCCGGAAACAAAGTCCTAAGTCCTGGAAACGATGAGACAGCTGAAAACCATGAGATGAGCTCTGACGTAGCTCCTAGGGAAAAGAAAGAACTAAATTCAGTTCTTGAGGCGCAGCAACAAGCAAGTAACAGCGTTAACGATTCCGATGCAGCCACCGGCAGAAATCCTGACTTGGAATACAGAGGCGATCAGAACATCAACAACTCGAACGATGATAGCAATGCAGATTTTGAAACGTTTGATGTCGTTGACGCTAAGAGAAAAGACACCGTGTTTATGAACGTAAACGAAACTGTGGGACCTACAGGAAAGTTAAACCCTAAACCAGTAATCCGGACTCCAATTCCTGTTTTTACATTGCCGGATCACACGGATAATAACCTGAGCTCCTTCATGCCTCCTGGCGGGGTGTTCAACATATCTCTGCCTGCAGTAGACGGCAAAGGCTCTGAAGTGAAGTTTGTGCCGGACTCCGACACCACAAGAGCCCTGCCTGCGACAGCGCTGGATCCTCTCTTCTTAGGTTCTGATGTTGTCGCCAAAACCCGTTCGGCTTCTCTTGTAAGTTTGGCAGATAAATAACTTAAGAACTTAAGCAAATGTTGAAATGAAAGCCGTTTATCGTGTTTATAAGAGTCATTACTACATTTCGTTGGTTTTCCTGGCATCTAACATGGCTATCCGGAGTAAGCGCCGTTTTCCTTATTACATTGTATCTTTTCACTACTAAGAATTTCGTTGCAGTTTCCTTATTTCTTTGCCGGGTTCTTGAGATTGTTTTGCATTAGCACTGAACTATCCTAACAATCGACCTTCGTTTTGGAGGTACTTTAATAATCACTTATTATTTTACCCATAATTGAGAGGAAAATTCAGGACAACTATGCATTTTCCCCAAACATTTCCAGTTAATTTAGCAATAAACTCCCCTTACCTCCCCCAGACGGGCCCCCTCTCCAGTCTCAGTCCTCGCCCCGTGAGCTCCCTTGGGGAGGTGTCGTCTCCCTTCTTCTTCCTGTGCCACTTCCCCCAGCAGGGGGAGCTGCCCTCCTCATACTCGCGTCCTTCCCCCGACCACCACCGCCTGGACCAGCCCGACACCGTCGTCAACGTCCGTCTGTCCGTCCTGGGCAACCGCAAGCTGGACAGAGGGTATCAGCCCAGCACTCGGTATGAGAGTGAGTCCCGGGGCTGAGTACTCATCGTTAGAGTGAGTCTCGGGGCTGAGTACTCATCATTAGAGTGAGTCGCGGGGCTGAGTACTCATCATTAGAGTGAGTCGCGGGGCTGAGTACTCATCATTAGAGTGAGTCTCGGGGCTGAGTACTCATCATTAGAGTGAGTCTCGGGGCTGAGTACTCATCATTAGAGTGAGTCTCGGGGCTGAGTACTCATCGTTAGAGTGAGTCTCGGGGCTGAGTACTCATCGTTAGAGTGAGTCTCGGGGCTGAGTACTCATCGTTAGCGTGAGTCGCGGGGCTGAGTACAGAGTACTCTTCTTTTAGAGTAATAGCAATTGATGATCAAGGTGAGATGCAGCGTAAAACTTCTTTACTATATTGAACATTGCAGGGGCATGAGAGTTGCACTCTCATGCCACTTAATACCAGTCAAGTGAATAGCTGTTAGGGCAATATAATAGCTGGAGGAGAGGGAGCTATTAGAGGTGCTGAAGGATAGGTTGTAATTGGAGTGGCTGGAGGATAGGTTGTAATTGGAGTGGCTGGAGGATAGGTGTTATTGGAGTGGCTGAAGGATAGGTTGTAATTGGAGTGGCTGGAGGATAGGTTGTTATTGGAGTGGCTGAAGGAGAGGGTGTTATTGGAGTGGCTGGAGGATAGGGTGTTATTGGAGTGGCTGGAGGATAGGGTGTTATTGGAGTGGCTGGAGGATAGGGTGTTATTGGAGTGGCTGAAGGATAGGTTGTAATTGGAGTGGTTAAAGGAGAGTTTGTTATGGCTAATTATGT